CTCTCTCTCTCTCTATCTCTATCTCTCTGTGTTTCATCTCAATACTGACATGTCTCTCTCTCTCTCTCTCTGTTTCGTCCCTCAGATCAGCCGAGCATGCTAGATGTCCAAGGACAAAACGCGGCCTACATCGTGCGGAACCACGACCCTGCCCACACAGGCCCGCAGGTCGCAGACACCAACATGCATTGTGAGTTGGACTCAGAGCCATCATCTTCATCATCATCATCATCATCGTCATCATCATCATCATCATCATCAGTATTGTTGTCATCATCATCATCGTCATCATCATCATCATCATCATCAGTATTGTGGTCATCAGTATCATCATCATCATCATCATTATTGTTGTCATCATCATCATCATCATCATCAGTATTGTTATCATCATCATGGTCTGTCATCGGACTCTGTGTTTATTAACTCCTACTTTCTCCTCCTGCTTTTGTTATCTCTAACTAACTTTGTGTACTGTCGAACGTCATTTTGTGCCTAGGTCAGTCCACGCCAAGTTTGAAGCATCAGTTGTACAGGGGACGCAACCATTGTTTTGTTGCTGTGATAGTTCTGTGTGTTCTCTCGTGTGTCACAGTCTTAAGTCTTTGAACCCCATCAATCAGCCGCACCTCGGGAGCAACATATTCTACACACTAGGCCTAGTCTGGGCAAATCATAAAAATGTGCAGGAATGGAAAATCCTTAAATACAAAACAAAACAAGTCATTCGAGAGCCATTTCCCTAATTTTGATGCGCTGATTCTGAATCTGCTATTATTTTTTATCTACGACGTGATTTTTTATAATTTTGAAATTAGTTTTGTTGTCCCCGGCGCTACAAACTTCAAAGATTAGTCGGCACTCCCCTCAAGGCAGTGGCTGTGGGTTCTTTACGTCCGGTGGGCAAGCTATTCGCCGGGTGTTCCCCTACGGTTTGAGCCGCTTTTTGTTATTACACGCTGCGATTGACCGTACGACCCAGAGATCTGTCGGCCTGTACGTGAAATACGCCCTTTAGGCCGAGCAGTCTGTGCGGAGGTAAAGTTGCATCAATTCTCGTACAGTCGAGGTTCTGTGGTATTAAAGGTGCTCTCCTTGTGAATGTGAGTGAAATCGTAGCTTCCAGTCTGGTTCAAATAAAATCTAACCCCCCCCC